ATTTCTCTGTAGAATTCTCATATATTCTTTCTTTAGCTAATTCTTGGCTATTTTATAGATTTTGTTGTTATTATAAGTGGCATTTAATTTTACCTTATTTTCTCTTGTTGCTTATATAAAAAGTGCTGTTGACTTTTTAATATTTATTTTGTGGCTAAAGAACTTGCTAAATTTTTTAAATCTTTTTCTATTTTTTTTTTTTTATTTTAGAGAGAGAAACGAGTGGTTGTGAGCAGGGGAAAGGGGCAGAGGGAAAGAGAGAGAGAATCCCAAGCAGGCTCCACACTCAGCGCAGAACCCAACTCCGGGCTTGATCCCAAGACCCTGGCATCATGACCTGAGTCAAAATCAGATGCTCAACCGACTGAGCCACCCAGGCGCCCCAAGAACTTGCTAAAAAAATTTTAATGTTTCTTTTTGAGAGAGAGAGACAGACAGAACACAAGCAGGAGAGAGACAGAGAGAGACGGAGACACAGAATCCGAAACAGGCCCCAGGCTCCGAGCTGTCAGCACAGCACCTGCTGCGGGGCTCAAACTCACTAACCGTGAGATCATGACCTGAGCTGAAGTCAGATGCTTAACTGACTGAGCCCCCCAGGGGCCCCAGAAATTTTTATATTAGCTCCAGTTGTTTACTTTTAATTCCAATTAAATTCCAATTCCTAGAATTCTAATTCTAGGTAGAAATCATACTATGTCAAAAAAAACCAAAAAAACCCACCAAGAATAAAAAGATACTCATTTTCTTGAAATCCTTACAATTTTTATTTATACGTTAAATTTTTACCTAGATAAGTTCCTACACTCTCTTATTATTCCCATTGTTTTGCTTATTTTTTAATTTTCTTGCATACAATTATATGATCTGCAAATAATAATAATTTTTCTTCAATTTCTATTTCCATGCCTCCTTGTTTCCCTTGCCTTCCTGGATTAAGGATGGCTTGTAGTATTCTACAGAAGAGCGAAGATTCCAGTGGGCGGTCATCTCGTCCTTGGTTCTCACTGGAATACTTTTAAACCTTCAGAAGCAAATAAGTGGCCTGCAGGCTGCTTGCACCCGCATTCCCTCCATTCTGGGCTGGTCAGGTTTTATCAGAGGGGACATTTCAAGACATCAAATGCTCTTTTTGTAACTCTGGACGTGATTGTTTATATATATGCGGTTTTATTTTCTTCGTCTGTTCAAGTAAGGGATTCTATGAAGAGATTTTTTTTTTAATTTTTTTTTTTTAATGTTTATTTATTTTTGAGACAGAGAGAGACACAGCATGAGCAGGGAAGGGGCAGGGAGAGAGGGAGACACAGAATGTGAAGCAGGCTCCAGGCTCTGAGCTGTCAGCACAGAGCCCGACGCGGGGCTCGAACTCACGAACCGGGAGATCATGACCTGAGCCGAAGTCGGACGCTTAACCGACTGAGCCACCCAGGCGCCCCTATGGAGAGATTTTTAACGGTAGACAATCCTTACATTGTGTGGGTAAATCCCACTTCGTCGGGTGCTGGATCCTGTTTATAAATATTTTGAGTCTGTGCACCTAATTTCCCCGAAAGGATGCCTAAATGAGGTCAGCAGATAGTCACTATTTTAATATTTGTTTTATTGTTTTCCGGAAAAAGTCTCGCTGGCTTTGGTGTCATGCAGATTTTGCCTCAGGGAACTGGTTGGGGTTGTTTTTCCGTCTTTCTCTCGGCCTGGAACAACACATCTGGAGCAGAGTTACCCGCTGCGCCTGCAGTCTGCGCCCAGGACCCTGTGCAGCTCACAGGAACTGGTTGATGCTCCTTCCTTCTCTGTAGCAAGGACCATGCCCTCAGGCGTTTTCCCTCTTCTTGTTTCTCCTTCCTTCTCGCTCATGAGGAAGTATGTCTTTGTGGGCAGACGTGCGCAGCCCCGTTTCAAGAAGAAATGCCCTTTGCCTAGTTATTCACTGCAAGTGCTCATTTCCGCTCTCAAGTTCCATTTCAATCTCCTTTTCAGAACGGAGACATCCTCTAGATGCTCGCAGCTTGCTGTGGACTTGGCCAGGTAAACTTCCTCTCATGTGGGAATAAGAAAAGGAATTTTTAAGGTCACCAAAACGATTAAAATAGTTAAAAATGAAAGGGTTCATAATGAAATCATTGTAAATAGTGAACACAAAGATTCATAAAGGTGATCAGGCGGTGATCAGTTAACTCTTCTCTCATGGACAAAACTGACTGTAGTCATCTGGTCACATGTCTGGATTTCGGAAAAAGAAAAAAAGAAGAAGAAGGAGAAGGAGGAGGAGGAGGAGGAGAAGGCTTTTACATGCCATTAAAAAGTTCGAGGTAAGTGATGAGTCACTTAATTCTACTCCTGAAACCAATACTACACTATATGTTAACTGACTTGAATTTTTAAAAAATGTCGGGGCACCTGGGTGGCTCAGTCACTTAAGCGTCCAACCTCAGCTCAGGTCATGATCTCACTGCTCATGGGTTTGAGCCCCGCGTTGGGCTCTGTGCTGACAGCTCAGAGCCTGGAGCCTCCTTCTGATTCTGTGTCTCCCTCTCTTTCTGCCGCTCCCCAGCTCGTGCTCTGTCTCTCTCACTCTCAAAAATAAACATTGAAAAAAAAATTTTTTTTAAGTTTAGAACAAGATGAAAAGCTAATGAATAAATTAGGAAATAATTAGGAAATTGGGAAATAAATTAGGAAATAAATTAGGAAAACATCAAACACTAACTAAGTTAAACACTTTTACTATGCAACACAACTTCACACTTTAAAATATCACACCTTTCAACCTGATCAAATAACTTTTATGTCCAGAAAGCAGGAGACGCACCTGGGGTGGGGGCACAATGCTTCTGCACAGTGGGAGCAAAATGCCACCACTCACTCCCCTGCTCTCCCCATCTGCCCCCGGATCTCATGGATTCTGCACAACAGCCCCTCCTCCCAACTGTCCAGGAAGTTTACTTTTCATTCAGCTTCTCCTTTCTCCCGTGTCCAATCGCAAATGGAGTCACATTTGTACTACACTCTGGATCCTTCCGTGAGGAGATTCTCCTAGTGGACACTTCCATCCCCTAAATATGAGCCCACTGTGGCCGAGGCAGAGCCACTATTTAGGAAACCAACAGGAATGCTTACAGGAAGAGAGGAAGGCTCTGTCCCTATCCCATGTGAAGGCTCATAAAGCCCACTGTAGACAAGATTTTTAGAGATTTTGTAGAGAATAACCTGTAAAGAGAAAAGTTGACACAGAAAGGCGACAAAGATTTCTGAGTTTCCACCTGGGAAATTAAAAACAGACATCAAAAAAGGACTGAGCTTGGAGGAAGAGATTATTCATTATCTCTTTAATATCTTGACACACAGCTGCTTCTCAAGGGTTTTGGAACCAGTCTCAGAGAATATGGAACCGCACAAATAGTACAAGTTGAGTAAGAGGCGAAGGAATGAACTGACATATTGGGTCTGGGGGAAATCCACTGAAAACTTCTTGCATTTTGAGTATTTACTGCCATTGCCAGAACGCTTCCTGGTTCATGATGGCTGGTGAGGCTTGTCCTCTGGTCTGTAGGAAAAACCTGGAGCGAAGTTTTACCAGTCACTTATTCAGCAGCAGAATCAGCACTCGATTCCTGACCAGTGGCTTATTAGAAACCCACCAAAACACCCAGGACAGGGCCTGATCCAGATGTCAGGATTAACAGGCAAAACAGGTAGGAGTGTCACAAGATGAGGACACATGAAGAAAAGGGCAAGCAAGCAAGAAAATGAATAGACGAACATTTTCAAGAATTGAAGGCAAGGAAGAGAAGAGTGAGGAAGAACACCGCAAGGAAGAGAGATATTAGCCCAGCATCCCCAGGGGCCACATCCACGTCCATCAGAGGGAGCACCCAATCACAAAGGACAGAAATCCACCTTTATGGGCTGAAACCATACAGGAAATGAATGGGCTGATGGAACCGGGGATCCCAGGGTTATTGGGGCTCCAGTCCCTCCTGTGGGTCTGTGCGTCTGCCTTCACTTTTGTGATGCTTTGGTTTTGTTGTTGCTACTGTTTTCTGCTTCACGGGAACATGATGACAAATGAAAACTGTACCTTTGTACAGCGTGCAGCTTTCCAGCCACCCAGGGAGGAAGGCTGGGTGGCCCCACGGGCGACACGGGCCTTCGCCAGGTCCGGCAGGTGCAGCACAGCCTGTGATGTGACAAGAACAAAGGTCCTCCTGATGAAAGTCTTCCAGCAGCTTCTCCGAGAGGACGGCCTGAAGAACGTCGGGAGCCCAGTGCACACGGCATGCAGGGAGCTGCAGGTGACGCTCAGGTCCTGAGCTGCCGAGCCTCGAGTGGCATGCAGCATTTTGAAGGAAAATGAAGCATTGGTCAAGAAAACCTGAATTCAAGCAAACCATGGAAGTGAATTGTTATGTTGCATTTATCACACATTAGAATACTTTTAATTGCGAGGCAAGAATTCTGTTTTCTTTAAAAACTGTAAAAGGAAATACACACTTGATGTTTGGTATGTGTTTGGTACAAGGTAACATGATGCCACAATCACTCTTGGTAACATGGCCACCACCTCACACCCGGATCCTCTCCTTTCTCTTTCTTTCTTTTCTGTTTCTTGTGGCGAGAACACTTTGGATCTACCCTCTCGGAAAACTTCATGTATAGAATTTCTCTGCCTTCTTGTATGTAGGTGTCATCCTCAGGCTTGCTTCCCTGATGCTGAAAAATGGGTTGGAGTTGTTTCAGGCTTCGTGGCCCGACCTTATCATCCAAGATGATAGAGACCATCTCTTTCCTTGCGATCAACCACAAGAATCGGAATGCCTGTGACCCGAGCCACCTGGAGCCAGTGTCTGGCCCCAAACCATGGCACTGGGGAAGGACAAGTGGCTTCTGTCTGGTGATTGGCCGGAACTGGATGGAACCTGTCCATGCTTCATCCCGTCGGATTGTCAAGGATGCTTTCTCCTGAGGGACTCAGGGTGATCAGAGCCCAGGGCTACACACGAGGCTGGAATCAACCAACCCAAACCCACAAGGTGGCCATGAGGTAGACTAGACCCTAGAGAAGTAGCCAATGGGTCTCATCTAGGGGAGAAATTTGGGGAAGTGCCATGATTTGCTCTCTCCCTCCCAATATTTTTCACCTTTGCCACCTCTCCCATCTCAACATTATCTCCCAGAAATATCCACATGTGCAGCAGTGGGAACCTGCATTTGTTCCCTCTGGATGTTCTCCTGCCCTGAGCCTCTCCTCTCTGACCCTGAACAGATTAGAACTAAGTCTCTTTTGCCATTGAACACAAAGAGCTTCCTGTACTAAGAAACTATTTAGAAACAACAATTAAAACCTTAAAAAATTGGGGCGCCTGGGTGGCGCAGTCGGTTAAGCGTCCGACTTCAGCCAGGTCACGATCTCGCGGTCCGTGAGTTCGAGCCCCGCGTCGGGCTCTGGGCTGGTGGCTCGGAGCCTGGAGCCTGTTTCCGATTCTGTGTCTCCCTCTCTCTCTCTGCCCCTCTCCCGTTCATGCTCTGTCTCTCTCTGTCCCAAAAATAAATAAACGTTGAAAAAAATAAATAAATAAATAAAACCTTAAAAAATCAAGAAAACAAAATTTTCAAACCCCAAAGGCTATAATATAATAACCTTTTCCTCCCCACTACCTTCCACTCCAAATGTCCCTGCTGCATGGGCAGGGCTTGAGAAAGGTTTATTGAGTAAATTAATGAAATCTACAGTAACTGAAGTCTGTCCATGGATGTTTCCACTGCCTTTGGGGTCATATGTCACAAAGAGTCCATGTTCATTATTCACGGAGTCTGTCTGTGCAGATTGGTCTTCCTACTGGCATTGATTGGTAAGCCCAGACACATGTGCTCATTGATGTTCATGGACACACAGAGTGGCCGGCATGTGTCACACACCCCACATGTTCCTCGGCGAGGATGAACCAGGTACCGCTCTGCCTTCCTGTGTGAATTCCCACACTGCAAACACGTGCCCTATTCATGATCCATTTGGTGCCACACTTTCCTCACTTACATGCTCTTTCTTGGTGATTTTGTATTTATTGATTGATTGATTGATTGATTGATTGATTTATATATGAAATTTATTGTCAAATTGGTTTCCATACAACACCCAGTGCTCATCCCAAATGTGATTTTGTATTTAAAATGGCCCTGAAGCCCAGAGCTACAAGGAGCATGGGTGGTCCTAAGCACAGAAGGCGGGATGTGCCTCACAGACAAAAACACCTGTGTGGGTAAGGCTCACTCAGGCTCACAAGGCAGAGTTGTGGGCCATGAGGTCAGTGGTAATGAATCAATAATACAATAAATTCAGGAAAAGGAACAGAAAATTTGTGATGGCCATGTGGAGCCACTCTAGAAAATACTAAAGTCACATCTAGGATGCTATGATGACACCACAGAAAAGGGGAAAGGAAACAATATTCATGGATTCATGAGATGATGACCATTTCTTGTTTGTTTCTAAAGCATCATGGGCAGCACAGCTTTGGGGCTGAAAGCCGAAGACCCTGGATGTCACAGGACCCATGCAGGGGAATATTACAAACTTTTGAGCTGGTATTTCCGTATAGGGAAATAGAGCATGCAATCAATTATTTGGAAACACACATATATATACGAATAAGCTCTATTTAAACACACACACAGGAAACAAGGCTGTGTATTCATCAGTGGGCAAGTGTTGCAGGCAGAGGCTCCCATGATCCCAACCCCCTATTGACTCCAGGAGCAACGGCTCACTGTGGCTGATTCCGTGTCCTCAGGGACTGGGACACAGCAGCCACCAATGTGAGGATGCTCTGTATGCCCTCTCCCTGCCGGACCCGCGTTCATTCCTGAGCACAACACTCTTACTGGCTTTTCTGGACCCACTCGCTTCCCTCCAGGGACGCACTCGCACAGCTACCTCTCAGGCACCACATTTATGCACCTGTGAATCCCCTGCTGGTTTTGCTAAAATGCAAATTGTGATGCAGTGAACCTCAGCTGAGACCAAGCCCCTATATTGCCAACAAGCCCCAAGGTGACGTCTCTGCTGCTGTTCCTGAGGGCCTCAAACAGCCAGGACCTGTGTCTTCCCTCCTCCTTTCATCCACAACAGGTCCACTCCAACAGGTGTCTGTGTTTAAATAATAGAAATATCCACAGACAAAACTGTATTCTCCTCAGAGGCTCAGAGATGTTACCAAGGAACCATAACAGTATCAAGTCTCCAGACAAAGTGAAAAGACTTTTGACAAGAAGAACATCAAACGTCTCAACTACTACAAACACCACAGGAGGCGAAAGAAGAAAAAACTACGAAATTGGCATCAATTCAACACACATTTTTATTAAGAACATATTCCATGCAGGCGAGACTCCTTGCCAAGGATACAAATATTAGAAAGACATGGACTTTACTCTCAAGAGGCCTAAGAATTAGGATGGAAAAGGGATCCAACTGGGGACAATAAGGGATGGGAAGTGAGTCATACGTTTGCCAAAGAGAAACTATGGACGTTGGAAATTCTCAGCAGGCAGAGACTGCTTCCCCTTGAAAATCAGGGAGGGCTCCCTGGAGGAAGTGGCATCTGATGCCTGTGACCCAGGGAGGTACTCAGCCTTCATTTTACTTGGAGAAAATGTAGAATTTAACTCCAAGAATCAGGTGAGAACAACAAAGCCCACTAAATTATTCTTGGCCGATATTGACAACTGATCATCGAGCACAAAGGAAAGACAAAAGTTGCACGCAGAGACTTGCAAATCCGTCACCACTGAGCTGGGTTTAGGTAAGTGCTGGAACCGGGGCTTCTGGGATCTCTCTCCGAAGGGAGGCCAGTGCACTGAGGTCTCCAGTGTGATTTCCTGGGAGGAACAGATTGGAAATGCTCTGCAGCAGGTGGAGGTGAGGACTCCAGGGGAAGGGGCATGGATTTACACAGTTGGGAAAGAGCAGGAAGGTGGTTCCAGACTTACCAGCGCTTCCAGAGCCAGAACGCAAGACCTGGCAGAAGCACCAGGGGCACGACCACCGCCAGGAAGACCAAGCCCACGGGGCGGTGCTGCTCTGTGGGTTCGGTGCACAGAGGGTGTCATTTCCCATCCACCCCGGGTTGACCTGCACCTTCCTGGTCCCTTTTGCTCCCGTCACCCTCTGCCTCACCAACCACCCTTCCTCTTTCTCCTCTCCCATCCCTGCTCACAGATGGACCCTTCAACCGACCCTCTGCTTCCTGCTGCATCTACAGGACCCTCACACCCAGCTCTCCATTTCTTAGGTCACTAAATTTTAGTCCTTTATGATCTGGAGTCCCTAGAATCCCAACTTTGTATCTGTCTCTCCTGCACTGCTGGAGGACCACCCTTTCCCAGCTGGGCACCAGCCCTTTTCTCACCCCAGTAGAGGACCATGTCCTGGCCTCCTAGACTGCTGTGTCTCACTCGGCAAGACAGGCCGGCTGCCTCCCTGGCTTCCACGTCCAAGGATGTCTGAAGATACCATGTCCCGTCAGCATGGGGCAAGACCTCGCCTCGTCGGGTGCCCTGGTGCTCCTGCTCACCCCGCATCCACGTCACCCACACTGGCTTTGGGTAGAAGCCAGAGACGTGGCACATGAGGAGCAGATGGCCAGGCCCTGGACTGGGGCCAGTGGACAGCCAGGCCTCGGGCCTCACTGCAGAGACAGGACAGGAATTCTCAGACTGAGAGGGAAGATCTTCACGTCAGTTGAGATACCTACATTGCTCCACCTCTAGAAACCTGTCAGCATCATCCCCTCTCCCTCTTGGCCCCTCTTACCCTGAAGCTGAGAAATGGTGCGAATTTATGAATGCACAGAGAGAATGCTTGGAGGTTGGGAGCAGGACTGACCTTGTCGCTTGAGATATGCCTTTCCTGCATCAAGAAGACTCAAGAGGAACTGAGGGCAGGTATCACTGAAAAGTGTGTGTATAATTTCATTGACCACATAGAACCGATTGAAGAGTGTGCAGACTTCTTCGGTCCTTCTGCCCCCCTTTGGAGATGGCCACCATGACGTGTTCTGGAAGCTCATGAGATCTGATCCTTGATATCCAATATGCACAAATCCTTCTGATGCTTCTCCAAGGTGCAGCTCACAGCCTCCTTCCAGCTGGACCTGAAACGGATCTGGAAAGAGAGGTTGTGAGATACAGGAATAGAGAAGGGAAAGTGTTGACATGAGGTGAGTGGAAGCCATGGACGGAAGAAGGAGAAGTTGAGGGTATTGGAAGGAATCAAGCAAAGTGTGCTTTGAGTGAAGGCTCAGAGAGAGGGGAAGTGGTGGTCACTGGAGGCAGAGGAGGAGGTGAATGACTGCGGAAGAAACAAATGTTGGAGGAGTGACTGGAAGGGTGTGGGCAGAGAACAGGGAAGGCCTCCACTGGAGAGCTTGGATAAAATCATCTAGGGTGAGGAGAGAGAAGTGGATACAAGGAACACATAGACAGAGGTCATTGAGGGGACTGAACAGGGAGAAAAGCACATTTCAAGGATCAGTCACAGAGTGAGGGAGTGGAGGATGTCTGGCTGCAGGCCAGGGAATGGGGTGGTCACTGCAGACATTACTGGAGGCCTCAGAGCACAGCCTGAGGTCAACGAGAGGAGGGGAAGGAACAGAAGACAAAAAGCTTTTCGAGAATCAGGGTCTGGCTTCTGCCCCGTGAACAGGGGGGTGTGATTCAGTTTTACGATGGGGAGTCGAGAGGTTCAGTAGCCAGTGGAGGGTCTACCCAGGAGGAAGAAGGAACTCAAGGTGACACACACACCGACCACCTCCATCCCACCTGCCCTGAGGGACCCGAACTCACATTCAAGCTGCCATTGACTGACATGGTCCTGAAATACCTGAAGAAATCTAATGGAGTATGAATGGAATAACTTTTCCAGTTCCATGAAATGCTCGTTGCTGAAGTTGCCCCTGGACCAAGGCCGCAGGAAAATGAACGCTCCAGTCTTGCTGTCCCAGCCATGAGTCTGCAGCTGTCCCAGCCAAGCTGAACCCTGATTTTGTGCCCGGGCACGGTTGTAAAAAGATGCGGTCAGGATGATTCGAAAAGTTTTTGGCTCCTGGAAGTCTGTGCCAGAAGAACAGACAGACTGAGGAAGAGGAGGGCAGAGGGAAGGAGAGAGAATCAGCAAAAGGGGCCAGGGAGGGGCACCAAAACCTGGAGGACAGGGAGCCATAGTTCCCTCTGGAGACGCGTGCTGCCCCAGAGCCCCGAGCTTGGCACCCGTCATTCAGAGGAGCACAAGGCCCTGGGGTCAGGGATGCTCAGGGAGGAACCAGGTGGACATGCCTCACTCCCCAGGGATGTGCTGGGGAACCCACACCATGTGTGCACACGCGCACAGACACCGATGCACACACGTACACACACACTCAGAGTTACACGTGATATGCACGCACATAGACACAGACGCAAACACAGACATACAGACACCCACCCACACACGTGCACACACGGCAGAAACACACAGAGGTACACACACAGGCACCTATGCACACGTACTCATACACATATACACACACGCACACATGTACACAACAACATATGTGCACACATGACACACATCACACAAATGTAGACAAACACTCTTGCACCGACCAGGCAGGGCCACATCCTCACCATCGTCACTGTCACCGCCTGGGACGAGAACCGTGAGCAAGACCAGTTGCAACAACAGCATCTTTTTGCAGATGTGCTTTCTTTCTCTCGGAAAGTGGGTCTTTGGCTTCTGTTCTCACAAACCTCCCCACACGCAGCCCCTCTCTTCTGACTTCCTTCTCAACACAGCCGCCTTCCCTGAGTCTCCGCGACAATGCAAATGGGCTCCGCCCTCAACCCTGGACACCTATTCAGACTCTCACTTCCCCTCTGGGTCTGACCCTCCTCTCTGGCTTCCAGTTTCCCCTTGTCACCAGCCTCCATCGTGCTCCCTGAGGCCCTAA